TTCTGGTCCCGTGCCCTCCCATCTGTTCCCCTGGCTGACAGAGGGGACAGGGATCAGGCTGGGGGGGTGATGTTTATTAAATGACAAACTTGGCTACTGCAGGATGGAAAAATAAACACAATCCTGGCACGTGGGAACCACCCAGGTCAAATGGGAGAGCTCACTGTCAAGGAAGGAAGAGGAGCAGCCTCCAAGGACTCAAAGAAGTCACAGGATTCTATCTGGAGGAGAGGGTCAGCAGTTTGAAACATAACTCCAGCCCCCAAGGAGACATCAGAACCCCTTGCAGTGCTCAAGGGGGTCCAGGAGAGTGACCTGGGACAAGGGATGGAGGGACAGGAGCCAGGGAATTGCTCCCACTGCCAGAGGGCAGGGCTGGGTGGGAGATTGGGAATTGGGAATTCCTGATGTGAGGGTGGGCAGGCCCTGGCACAGGTGCCCAGAGCAGCTGGGGCTGCCCCTGGATCCCTGGCAGTGCCCAAGGCCAGGCTGGACAGGGCTGGGAGCACCTGGGACAGTGGAAGGTGTCCCTGCCATGGCAGGGGGTGGAATGAGATGGGATTTAAGGTCCCCTCCAACCCAAACCATTCTGGGCTCCAGTGAAAAATGTGTGCTCACCCCTTCCCTGCTCAAGCCCTCTCACCCCCTCACCACTCCCTCCTGCCCAGCAGCTTCCCTCTGCTCCCCATCAACCCAGACATGAATATTCAGCTTTTAGGCCATTTCCTCTGTCACCTCTTTGCCATCAACGGAAAATTAACCCCCTAGGGCTGGGAACAGCCAGAGCCCTGCACCACTGACACCTTCAGGATTGCCAGGGATGTGTGAAAATACCAGGGATGTGTGAAGCAGCTCTGTGTCACTGCTGGGAAACCTTCAGCCCATGGACAGGGGACAGCCTGGCTCAGCACTGAGGGAATGCCAGGCCTGGCTCATGTTCCCACTGTCATCATTCCAAGGCAGAGCCAGGCAAGGTGCCTGAGGTCACTGTGGGTGACCTGAGGTGAAACCAAACCCAGCAGAAATATCCAGCCCAAACTCTTGTGGGGGCAGAAATTGCTGGTGCCACATCAGTTCTGTTTGGGAATCCTGCAGTGGAATCCAAGGGCTGGGATCACCTCTGATCCCAGCTGCTTTCCATGACACTTTTCCTCCTCAGCTGCCAAGATTTATCACTGAGGAAGCTGAGCTTCCTCAGGGGAGGGTGTAAGAAAGAAATACATTTATAAAAAATTTTCAAAGTTTGATAGAAGGTTTATATAATATATGTTAGAAAATAATAAATACTAACTTAAAAATACCATAAAATAAAGCAAACATTATTTAAAAAGAAATACCATAAAATAAAGCAACCATTATTTAAAAAGAAACATTATTAAAAAAGAAACCTTATTAAAAAAGAAACCTTATTAAAAAAGAAACAACCTTACAAATAAGACTAAATACTTTAGAAAAATAAAACTATAAAAAAATGCATTGTAGAAAGACCCACAAGGGGGTAATTTTAAATAATTAACTTTAAAACATTTACAACACAATGTAACAAAAACCAATAAGCTAAAAACCACTTATAATTAAGAAATAGTTCACTTCTAATTATAATGATGGAAATTATAACATCTGTTATAAATAATGAATAGTTCACTTCTAATTATAATAATGGAAATGATAACATCTGCTATTACACCCTTCACATATAACTAAAAATAAAATGAAAGTTTTTACCACACCTCTAAGTCAGAAAAAACCAAAATCCCACAGGAGGGTGTTGTGGGGTGGGATTTAAGAGTCACAGGAGAAGGAAGAGCTGCTGTCCTGCTGGAATTATGGCCTGCAGAGCCAGCTGGAACCCCTTCCACCACCCATAGCCTTCCTTGGATTCAGCAGAAACACCACCAGCCTGGACTTTAATGGCAGTGATGGAAAATCCACACTTGGTCTTGTCCAAATATCATCACAGAATCCCAGAATGGTTTGGGCTGGAAGGGACCTTAAAAACCCAAGTTCCAATCTTGTCATGGGCAGGGACAACTTCCACCATCCCAGGCTGCTCCAAGCTCCACCCAGCCTGGCCTTGGGCACTGCCAGGGATCCAGGGGCAGCCCCAGCTGCTCTGGGCACCTGTGCCAGGGTCTCCCCAGAAATGCACCACCCTTGTTATTTTAATCCCATTCCATCCTCTCCCAGCCTGCAGAGGCCTCAGCTGCTAAGTTTTAACTCCCTAAGTAGATGTTCCTAAACCAGGAGCATTTGGGATGCTCCTAAAAGGAGTCACTTCAGGCTCTCCTGTGCTGATTGACCCCAGTCAGGGCTCTCTTTGCAGCAGGACATTCACCCCACACCCTGCTGGCACAGATTTTTGGCAGGATTCTTCCCTGCCCTCCATGCCCTTCTGGGAGCACTTAACCAAGGAGCTGCTCTCCCAAATTTCCTGGCAGGGAAGGCTCAAACCAGACCCCAAAGCCACGTGGGGCTGCCTCAATCCCTTAGCTCCAGCAGGATGGACAGGCTGAAGTTCTCTCTCCAGCTCACCTGCATGTCCCAGCACAAACATCCCTCCTGCTGCTGCTCCAAAATGTGAGGCAGGGAGGAACACTGACAGCTCTTGCTGCATTTTTGTCCATGCAAACAGGTTTCCTATAGGTGATCCAGAAAAATGACAGAATCCTTAAGGTGGGAAAAGCCCTCTAAGATCATTGAGTCCAAGCATTCCCCAAGGGGAATGGCTTCCTACTGCCAGAGGGCAGGGTGGGATGGGATATTGGGAAGGAATTCTTGGCTGGGAGGATGGGAGTCCCTGGCACAGGGTGCCCAGAGCAGCTGGGGCTGCCCCTGGATCCCTGGAAGTGTCCATGGCCAGGCTGGATGGGGCTTGGAGCCAGCTGGGATGGTGGAAGGTGTCCCTGCCATGGCAGATGTGGAACTGGATGAGTTTTAAGGTCCCTTCCAACCCAGCCCATGATTTCTTGCCTGGAATTATATTAACTTTTCATATTTTTCACTACACATGTCCCTTCCTTGCTCCAAACTTTTCCTACACAGCCAACACGTTCATCATCACAAACCCATGATAATTATCACAGGTTCATTATCATCACACAATTAGCTGGCACAGAGCTCAACCCAAATCCTTTCAAATTTTCCAAAGGCAAGTTCTTAGACACAACTGATTTGAGTAGAGCGGTAGAGCTGCAATTCCCCAGTATCTGGAGTTGGAATAACAGTGAGATGCTTCTCCAGAGTTTTGGGATGAGCCTGTAATTATGGGACTGAAATAACCACTGGCCCTTTGCACTCACTGCATCTCCCTACCTCCTACAGGGGCAGCTGTGGGAGCATCTTGAAGCACAGGGATCCTTTTCTAGGAACATCCAAGTGCATCCCAGCCTGTTGTCCAGTGTGCTTTGCCTGGATTTTTGCTGAATGTTTTGCCTGGATTTTTGATGCTCCCATGCTGCCCTTTACCCTGTCACTTCCAGAAGAGTTTCACTTTCATTTTCATTTCCAGGTCCAACTTCCCAGCAGCTGAGTCTCACTTGCTATCCAGGGCTGCAGGAGGGACAGAGAGCAGCCTTTGTCTCTGCCCACACCAGGAGAGGAGGGCTTTGATTCCCGTGCACAGCAGACACCCTGCAGCACGGAATGGAGAAAACCTCTAAAAGGAGTCCAACCATTCCCCCAGCACTGCCAAACCCACCGCTAACCCACGTCCTCAAGCGGTTTGTGAACACTCCCAAGGAAGTGAATCCACCGCTTCCCTGACAGCATCACCGCATGCTGGAATCACCATCTGCTGGAATCTCCACCTGCTGAATTCCAACACCTCCCTGCTGGAACCAGCATCACCCACTGCTGCTGCTGCTGCTGCTGCTGCCCCGTTCAATCTGTCCTTGGGAACCAGCCCCCCGAAATCCCTGGAAAGCAGCCGGCACTGGGTGCACATCACCGAGCAAGCTACGGGCGGCTCGGGGCTCTCACCTACCCGGTGTCCCGAGCGTTCAGGCCGATGTCCTCATCCCTGCTCCGCGGTTCTGGGACAGCACCGAGGCGTCCCCCGGCCCCGGCTGCACGGCTGGAAAAGCCGGGATGGGCTCAAAGCAGCGCGGCTGGGTCTGTGCCAGCCGGGGGAAGCGATCCCTGAGCCCAGCGAGGCCTCTCGGTACCCACCGGAGCCGGGAGCTGTTCGCAGCTGAGCTGTGCCGGCATCCACAGGGATGGCCGCCTGCACGGAAGGAACAGACGGTCCGTGAGGGACACACGGACAGCCCCAGCCTGGAACGGGAACGTTCCCGGTCCGTGAGGGACACCCGGACAGCCCCAGCCTGGAACGGGGATGTTCCCGGTCCGTGAGGGACACCCGGACATCCTGAGCCTGGAACGGGGATGTTCCCGGTCCGTGAGGGACACCCCGATATCCCCACAGAGCCTGAAGCGGGGATGGTCCCGCACCCCGACTCTGCCTGCGGGGATGCCCGGTTCCCCCCGGTTTCCCCCGGTTCCTCCGTAAGGCCCCTCAGCGCTCTCCTCACGGCCCCTCTCAACCCTTCGCTCCCCTCTCTCATCCTTCTCATCCCTTTCTCCCCTCTCCCCGTCCGTCTCTCATCCCTTACCGGTTCTCAGGGAAGGAGGGATGGCGGGCGGGCGGCGCCGCCAACCCAACAAGCAAAGCGGCGGCGCGGCGGGGGCGTCGCGCGAGTGATTGACAGGCGGCGCCGGCCAGTGGGCGCGGCGGGTGGGCGCGGCGAGGGGCGTGGCCGGTGGACGGCCAATGGGGAGCGCGCGCCGCCGCCCCTCAAATCAGCGGGCTCAGCCGGCTGTCCCCGGCACGGAGTTGTTTGGCGGCGGGCGGGCGGGCGGTGCAGCCGGGCGGGCGGGAGGAGGAGAAGGAGAAGAAGAAGAAGGGGAAAAGGCGGGGGGGGGAGGTCTCCCCTTTGTTGCATGGGGGTGTCCAGCCGGGGCTGAGGGAAGGCAGGGAGGGGGTCGGTGCCTCCCGCTGCCCCATGGCCCTCGCTGAGGGGGCGGCCGTGCCCTACGCCGTGGAGCTGGGGCTCACCGTGCTCCACACGGCGCTCTACGCCGCGCTCTTCCTCTTCGCCTACCTGCAGCTCTGGCTGCTGCTCTACTACCGCGAGCGGCGGCTGAGTTACCACACGCTCTGCCTCTTCCTCTGCCTGCTCTGGGCAGCCCTCAGGACCACCCTGTTCTCCTTCTACCTGCAGAATTCCCTGCAGGCCCTCCGCCTCCAGCAACCCTTCGCCCACTGGCTCCTGTACTGCCTGCCCGGCTGCCTCCTCTTCTCCAGCCTCTGCCTCCTCAACCTCTATTTCGCCGAGGTAAGTTTTGCCTTTTGGGCAAAACCCCTCCAAAATTCTCTTTCCCAAACCTCCACCCTGCGGGACACCGGGGCTGGAAGCTCCTCTTCAAACTTGGAGCGCCCTGGAGCCGAGGCTTTGGGGTGCGATGGGGATGTGAGCGCCCAGGTGAGGGTGGGGGGCGATCCTGAGGGGCCGATCCTTCGGGACAGCCTGAGGGGATGCGGGGCTGTGCCCTGAATCCCGGCTGGGAGGGAGGCACAGGGGTTATGCCCTGAATGCAGCCCTCGGTCCAGACTTCGGGACAGCCTGGGGGATGCAGGGGTTGTGCCCTGAATCCAAGCTCGGGGATGGGGGGGGGGGGATGAGCACAAGGATTGTGCCCTGAATGAAGGCTTGGGGAGAAGCACAGGGATTGTGCCCTGAATCCAAGCTGGGGGGGCGGGGTGGGATTTGGGGGGGATGGTGTGAGCTAAAAGTGCGCCCAGAATCCCAGCATCAAGGCTTTGGGGTGCAGGGCTGTACCCTGCCTGCAGACCCCGCCTGGGGGGGACAGCCACATGCCCTGAATTTGGGATTAGGGGGTGCGGGGACATGCCCTGCTCCCAGGTGGGCTTTTCCTCTTTGCAACCCAGACCCACCGCGGGGTGTTTGTGTGTGTGTGTGAGGGGGGGCATCACTTGAGGGACTGTTTTGCATCTTTTTTTCTGTTTTTTAATTGATTCCCCTTCTGCAAAGGGGACCAGAAAGTGGCAGCAAGCAGGGGCTGCTCTGGCCTGGAGTGATGCCAACCATTACGTCACCAGCCAGAGCCTCTTCTGCTATTGTTGCTGCGCTCCCTCCTTCCCTCCATCGCTCCGCTGCGAACCCGGCTTGTTGTTCCGCAGCTTGTCAGACAAAAAAACCCCGAGATCCCTCACACAACAGCCCGGGGCAGCCGAGGGGGGCCCCTTCCCAGCGCCAGCATCGCTGCTGGGACAGTGCGGAGCCGCTTGTTATTGTCACCGAGCTGTGTCCCTGCTTTTCTGGGTTTCCCATCACTCGTGTGGTGATTTTTAGCCTCCTTTCCTTAGTCCTTCCACTTGCCTTTATCTCCTAAAGCCCTGGCTCTCCCCTCCCCATCCTCCTCCTGAATATTTTGTTTCTGCTCCAGTTTCTCTCGAGCAGCCCTTTGCTCGCCTGCCTCCCGGTTCGCTGCCTATTTATGAAACAAGTCACCACTTTTTCCTTGCAGCTTTGTTGTTGTTGTTGTTGGGATTCTTTGCTCTGCAGCTCTCAGCTGTTCCCCAGCCTCACAAAGGAATGGCTAGCACACAGAAATCTCTCCAGTGTGTCACCCACGGGAGTTATGATTTCATTTTCCCCAGGACACCAACATTCACATGACACTTGGAGCACTGGGGTTGTTCTGCTGTTCTGGTGCTTTTCCCCACTCTTTTCCCCCTTCAATAAGCACCTGGAGGCTTTGGGGGTGAGCTGCCTGTTGCAAAAGGTGTTGTTGATGGAGTGGCAGTGCAATAACAAATGGTGCATAGAGTGCACAAATCCATCTTGTCTGCTTAAGCGAGCCTGACCTCCCAGTTGCTCCAGCCAGGAGGGGTTGGTGTCCCTTGAAAGGCAGGGATTCTGTGCTCTGCTCCACAGAGTGGCTGGATTTCTGTTTTCCTCTGGGTCACTGGATTTGACAGCAGATTTGCCTCTCTGCAGGCTTGTTTAAAGGTCCTCTTAAAGTAAATCCACATAGATTCCCAGGCTTCTCCTCCTCCCACGATATCTGTTTTGCAGTGAACTCTGCATGTATCCCATTTCTTTCTCCTTGAAGACCTAGAGCCAAGGGAAATCCTGTCTGAGGAAATAAGAGCTCTGAATCTGGAGTGGGGAAGGATAAAGTGACTTATAAAAATGGGTCTGCTTTGCTCAGCTCCAGGGAGGACCTGACACTTCCCTGGAACAACCAGGAGGGGTGTCCATCACTCCGTGGGGTTTTTTGGGAGATCTCACTGGTGAAGCTCCAGAGGTTTGGAGAAAAAAGATGGAAAGCCTGGAGCTTTTCTGGCTCCCATTATCTAGAGGTGACTGGTGTGTTCAGTGGTGTGACTCCAGCAGAATGTGCCCATCCATTCCCAGTTTTTAAGGGCCACTTGGCAGCAGCCTGTGGAAGGACACTGAGCTTCTGCTGCCCTGGGGGTGGCATCCTGAGCTGAGATGCCCTCAGATAAAAGCAGGAGCTGCTGCTGTGCTGAGGGCCTGGCTCATTGTCCCTGTACACAGAGCCTCCTTTGTGGAGATGCTGGAGAAATGGCATCTGGGCAAGAAAATGGCCTGTGCTGATATTTGAGCTGTTCTTGCTTGATTTACAGAGCCCCTCAGGCAGCACAGAGGCTGGGGATGGAAAGGTGCTGGGGAAGAAGCTCCAGGAACAGATACCTGTGGAGAACTGGCATTACTTAACACTCCAGGCTGTTTCAGGGCTGAAATTCAAATCTGCTGAACTGCCTGGTGTTCTTCCTTTCTGTGGGGACAGGTTGTCCTCTTCCTGTCCCATCTTGGCCCCTGAGATCCCTGAGGGGATGCAGAGACCTGACAGAATCAGTGTGGGATGTGTATTTATTTTTCAGAGATCCCAGAATGGTTTGGATTGGAAAGGACCTTCAAACTCATCCAGTTCCACCCCCTGCCATGGCAGGGACACCTTCCACTGTCCCAGCTTGCTCCAGCCTGGCCTTGGACACTGCCAGGGATCCAGGGGCAGCCCCAGCTGCTCTGGGCACCCTGTGCCAGGGCCTCCTCACCCTCCCAGCCAGGAATTCCTTCCCAAAGTCCCATCCATCCCTGCCCTCTGGCAGTGGGAAGCCATTCCCTGGCTCCTTTCATTCCATGCTCTCGTCCTCTCCAGCTCTCTTGGGATACTTCTTCCACCTGGAACATCCCTTGAGCTTGGGAGCATCTCTTCCTTTCCACTTCAGCTTGTACCAGAAGGAGAGTCCCTTCCTGGCAATCTGGAGTTCAGAGTCCATCAGGTCAGAATTCCTCAGATCCATTCCCAATCTTGCCTGAAGAGCTCTGATGTCCAACCTAGGATGCTCCTTTGGAGTAGCTCCTGTGCTGCTTGAACAATGGCAGCTTTCCCAAGAGTCTGCAACTTCTGCTTTTCCCCAGCTCTTGGTCAGGACCATGGAAATGGAAATACATGGAAGGAGCTCAGGGTATTTAGCCTGGAGAGAAGGAGGCTCAGGAGGGACCTTGTGGCTCTGCAGAACTCCCTGACAGGAGGGGACAGCCAGGGGGGCTTGAGCTCTGCTCCCAAGGGGACAAGGAACTAGAGGAAATGGCCTCAGGCTGTGCCAGGGGAGGTTTAAATGGGATATTAGGGAAAATTTATCCTTGGAAAGGAGCTGCCAGGGAGGTTTGGAGTCCCCATCCCTGGAGGTGTCCAAGGAACCCCCAGAGGTGGCACTCAGAGCTCTGGGCTTGTGACAAGGTGGGAATCAAGCACGGCTTGGACCTGATGGCCTTGGAGGTCTTCTCCAACTCAAATGATTCTGTGAAGTGCAGCCACAACAACCTTGATCTTAAAGACCTTCTTGAGCCTTTGGCACTCCTGGCTGTGCTGGGAATCAGCAGGGAGGGGTAAGGAATGCTGGCCTGGTGGTGTGGCCAGAGCCCTTCACCTGCCTGGCTTGCTCTGAGTTCTCCATGTGAGGAGATGACATCAGCCCCTTTCATCCCTCCCTGCTCTCATTGCATGGAGACAGCCATGGAGAGAGCATCCAGCCTGGGAGATGTTTGTCTCTACTGTCCTGGATCTTCCCACATGGAAAACTGGGCAAATCTCCATCCTTCATTTCCCTCTTTCACCTTCCCTGTGCAGCAGCCACCTGGCAGTGCCCTGTGCCTCAGAGGGAGAGCTGCTGAGGCATCTCTGAAACCCCAAACTGCTCCATCCCAGAGCTGATGCTTCCCATGTTTCCCAGAGGAACAGGTGGCCCTGCTGGGCACCAGCTATTCTGGGAAAGGAGGGAACATGCAGAATTGCAGCCTGTGTTCAGGATGGCATGGAATGAGCTCAGCACTAATATGAGGGTGGTGAGGGATCCTCGTGGACAGTTCCAGCTCTTCCTCTGTGGGCTGAAGCTGGGGTTTGCACACTTGGGACAAGGTGTGATCCCAGAATAATCTGTGCTGTGCTCCCATCATCCTGTGGTGAGGAGAGGGATCTGTGTGGGGATGTTGGGGCAGGGCATGGTTGTGTCTTGTGTCTGCAGAGCCCAAATTCGTGTTGTATTTATGAAGCAAAAAAAGGGTTTGATTCCAGTGGACAGCAACAAGTTCCTGGACCTTTCAGATCTGCTGGAAAGTAGCCTGGTTTTGGTCCAGCCTGAGTGCCTCACTGTAAGGTTTAAGATCCTGCCTTTTGCAGGCACTGGGAGTGGTCCTTGGGTTCATCTGTGGGATCTGGGATGTGTCACTCTTCTTCCCTTCTGCACCTTCTAAGGGTGAGTGTGTCTCTGAACACACCCTAGGGGCTCTCTGGGATGTGATGTAAGAAAATCACTTTTATGGGATAAACCCACCCAAAAGCCCCCAGCATCATGGAAGGCTTTGGGATCTGTAGCTCATGTCAGCCTCACCCTCTGGCTGATGTGGAGTGCCCAAGGGATCCATGGCTCTGGAAAGGCACCTGGGTATTCCAAACTGCTGTGAAAGATTGGTTCAGAGTAAATGTTCCCAGTCCTGCTGCTCTGTGCTGCTGAGACCTCTGTTTTCTCTTTTCATGCTTGATTTCTGGAGCTGGGCTCAGCTCAGATTTGAAGGAACTGTTCAGTTTGCAGGGGTTGCTGCTCACAGCTTGGCCTAATGCACCTGCTGAAGCACAGGGCTCTATTTTTCCTGTGTTTCTGAAGAACAGAATTGCTCCTGAGCTCTCTGTGCTGGGTTTTTCACAGCAGAACCCTCTGCCTGAGCTGTCCTTGGGCTCTGGGAGCAGCAGAGCCCCGTGCAGGAGGCTCAGAGCTCATCTCAAGGATAAGAACCCAGAGACACCCTGTGCACTCTGCTGGTGGCACCTCCTGACCCAGTCCCTGGGAAGGAAAAGCAACCTTCAGATAACTTATCAGCCTTAAGAACCAAAACCACCAAAGCAGAGGTGGCTGTTCCTTTCCTGAACTTATTCCTATAACTTTCCAGGGGCTAATAAAAATGTAAGGCTGGAGCTGTGGTCTCCCTCTGCTTTCCATGGCAGCAGGCCAAGCATGAGGCTCAAATTGCTGTTGCACTCTTAACCCTGACTCAGCTTTGTGTGCCTTCATCCCTGGGGCTGCAGGGGAGGGTTTGGCAAGAGTGTCCTGCCCAAAACAGCATCTCCTGTGAGCCAGGGGCACTTCCCTGCTCAGCTGAGGGGCTGTTCTCAGCTGGGAACACAACATTCCCAGCTGGAATACGAGCCAGGGGCTCTGCAGGGCTGTTCAGAGGCTGAGGTTACAGCAGGAGTGCAGATTGCTCTGTGGATTTCCATGATGCTGCAATGGGTGCTGAACCAGGACTTTCCCAGCTGGATGTCACCAGTGCCTGTTTTGACAGGAAACAACCTCAAGTTGTGCCAGGGAATATTTAGATCCTAAGTGGATGTTAGGAAAAAATTCTTCACTGAAAGGGTGGTGAGGTGTTGGAACTGGCTGTTCAGGGCAGTGGTGGAGTCCCCAGGCCTGGAAGTGTTCAAAAAACTCGTGGATGTGGCACTTGAGGGCATGGTTTAGTGGTGAATGTGGTGCTGCTGGATTAATGGTTGGACTTGGTGACCTTGGAGGGCTTTTCCAGCCTCAGTGATTCAGTGATTCCAAAGTGCCTGAATGTCACCCACAGCAAACAAGGGAGGATTCAGGGATATTTCTGGTTTGGAGTCACTGTGTGGCCCTTCCCAAGGCCCAGTTTCTTGTAGCTGAGATGAGTTTTAGGGCTCAGAGTGGATTGTGGCACACTCCTGTCACTCTATGTGCCAGGACAAGGGGACAGAGAACATTCCTGAGGCTGGATACCTCCCTCTGCTGAAGAACCACAGCTCATTCCTCACTAAGTCAAACTCATCCTCTCTCAGGAAGAGGAGCCAGGCAGTGGAAGTGGCTCTTGGAGGAGAATCACTGAAGCTGTCCAATGTCCTTTGAAATGCTTGGAAGCACTGCAGTGGCTCAGACAGCCCTCAGATCCTGAAATGGCTCTGGAAATCCCCTTGGCAGCAGCCTGATTCCTGAAGTTCATGTGCCATTTCTACCTCAGTGCTGACTTGGAAGCAGGAGCCAAGGAATCCCACCAGGATAAAAGGTGCCTGAGGATGCCTGGGAGGAGATGAGTGATCCTTCACTGCTGACAGGGAAGGTGCCTTGTGGGAGAAGGGAAACTGAGCCTCCACAGCTGAGCAGTGATTCCACTGTGCAGCTGGGATCACCCTGCATGTGTCTGTGCCTCTTCCCAAGTTCCTTGAAAGTCTCCAATCAGGACATGAGCTCTGCCTGAGGCTGAGTGTGACTCCAGCTCTGGGATCCTTCCTGGTAGGGTCTGGAGCTGGACACAACCCAGTTCTGAGCAGTGTGAGCACTGGTTCCCTGTGCCTTTGCAGCAGGAATTCACATCTGAGCTGTGACTTGGGAGTATCTGCACCTTCCTAAACTGTCCCTGCTCCTCTGACATGGAAATCCAGCATGGCTAAGGTCCTAAAATAGCCCAAAACATTGGGAAAAGGAGGTGTATTTTTGAAGGATGTTAAAGTGCTAAACTCCCTTCTTTTCTTGAAGTCTTCAAGGTGTGGTGTTAAAGTGCTTGTCACATATGGGGTGTTAAATATGTTTATGGTTGTTGGGAACCTGCATTTGGGCTGGGTTTGTACAAGGAGGAAGTGCCATTCTTTTGGGTCCAGAGCAAGACTTGATGCTGATAAATAACCCAGATTCCTTGGAGATGTCCAGCTGGATTCTGATTTCCCTGTTTATCTCTTGAAAGGAAACCTAAATTAATCCTGTGCAAATCTTTCCTCCAGGTCATATTCAAAGTGAAATGTGCAGCTGAATTCAACAAGTACAAGTAAGTGCTGCTGTCCTGACCTTCCCTCCAAAGCTGGTCCCAGGGGAACTGGCTGGGAAGGGGAGGGCCAGGCCCCAAAAGCTGACCAGAGCTCTAATTCCATACCTGTGCTCTGAGAAAGGAGCAGAGTTTCACCTTGGAGCAGGACTGGGAGCTTCAGGGGTGCCAGAGGAGCTCGAGCATCCCAGCTCCCCTGGGTGGACTCTGAGGGTCACTCTGAGCTGTCCCAGCCCAGGAAAGATCAGCAGAACAAGGCTTGGGCAATGGGAGAGCCCCAGGTTTGTGCAGCCCAGGTGCTTCCCAGGGAAACCCAGGGTGGAAAATGCAAGCTCCAGGGGCTCTCAAGGAAGGAGTTGCAGTGGTTGTGATGACTCATGGCTTATTGACTGGAGTTAATGCAGAGCTGGAGCAACACTTAAAATCTGCAAGATAAGAACCTGACTGTCAGAAGATGAGTCTTGTAACTCATGACTGCTTACGCTGCTCATGTGTTATGAGAGCAGCTCCAACAAATCCTCTGCAGCCTTGGGCTGCCAATACAACCCCTGAAATTTGCTGGAATGCCTGAGCTGCCCAGCAAGCTGAGCCCTGGGAGGCTCTGCTGAGACAGGAGGGAGGTGCACAATGAACCTGCCCTTGTCTCACTGACCATTTTTTCCCCTCACCGTGTCTCCAGGGTCCTGTTGTACCTGGGCTCCATCCTCACCAGCCTCCTGTTCCTGGTTGTGAATTTAACCTGTGCAATGCTGATCCACGGGGAGGTCCCAGAGAAGCAGCTCAGGTGGACGGTCCTGGCCCGGGCTCTGGTCAACGACAGCCTCTTCATCCTCTGTGCCATCTCCCTGGCCTGCTGCATGTGCAAACTGGGAAAGATGTCTTCAGCCAATGTCTACCTCGAGTCCAAGGTGGGTAAATGCCTTGGGAATTCCCTCTGGGACTGCTCAGTTGGAGCTGGGTGTGCTCACTCAGGGCAGTGCTGGCCTGGTGGCACCTGAGCTGCTCTGGCTCAAATTCTCCTGCCAGCGTGGAGGTGGCAACTCTTGGATTCCTCCCTTTCACAAAGTGCATGCTCCTGCTGTGGGAGTGGTGTTTCCTGCATGTTTTAGGGGAATACTTTGTCTGCAGCTTTGGCATAACAGATTTATGAACTGCTTCTGCTTTTCAGGCACAGAAAATCCCAGGTTTGCCTTGAGAGGGTTCTCTCAGAGCAGCAGATGCAGTTTTGTCTGTGTATTTTACCTGTAGCAGGTGTGTCATGATTCCCTGCAAAGGGGATCCCCCAGAAATCCAGCTTTAGGTGGGCTCTGCTTGGCTAGGATGAGATGAGCATTTTGGAATGGGAGGAGAAGTTGCTGTAGGTCCTGTCCCAAAGCAGAACAGGTGAGGGTCTGAACACACACAGCTCTTCTCCAGCAGATAGGAAAGGGGAAAAGCCACCAGCAGTGTGGCAGGAGGCTGCAGTCAGTGCCCACCTGAGTGCCTGGAAACATCCAGAGGAAAAACCAGAGCACCTGAGCACAGCCAGGTGAAGCTGAGGCTGTCTGTAGGAGCTGTCTGGCTCCTTAAGCAGCAGAGGGCATCGGTGGCTTCCTGGAATGCAGGGGGTGTGGGCTGGCTCTGGTGTCCTGCCTGGCTCTGTGACAGCTGTCCAGAGGCTGCAGGTTGTGTCCAGCTCTGCAGTGAGGCAGGAGCAGAGAAGCTGCTCAATCCCTGCTGGCCTGGGCCTGCTATCCAGCTCTGGCTGCCTCTGGACACTCATTAACTCACCCAGTTCCCCCAGTGCAGGAACTTCCTCTCCTCACATGCCCGAGGCTGCCCCTGGGCTGTGTGCAATGTGCTCCAGGGAAGCCTCTGCTGTGCACTTGGATACTCACCCTGCTGAAGGTCTCTGCCTCCCTCCCCTGCCTTGGGGGCATCCTCTGATGTTGTGTTTGGGAAATTGCTGCAGAAGCAGGCTGGGGATGAGCAGAAATGTTACACAGATGCCCCAGAAGGTTGTCCTGCCCCTGAACTCAAAGGCACACAGCAGGGCTGCCTCCACACTGAAGGTGGGAATGTTTGAGCTGTGGGAAGGAGGCTGGACTGCAGCCAGCTCCTGTCCTGGGGTCCTTGTGAGCTGGAGATTTGCTTCTGCAGCCCTTGTGCCTCATTGTGCTGGCCTGAGCACCACAGGCTCAGCTTCCAGTGGCAGCAGGATGTGTGCTGGGCTCCAGGGCTGTCACTTGTCTGTTGGCACCTCTCTCCTGCTGACTGTCTCAAGACACTGTCCTGAGCTCCAGATCTAGGAAAATAGAGCTGGGATGTGCAGCAGACCACTGGGATGAGCTTCCCCAGCAGATTCTCTGCTTAAACACAAAGGCAGCTCAGGTGTGTTTGTCCCTCACTGTGACTTGGTGCCTCCCAGCAGCCATTAAAGGGATTCATGGATGGATTTAACAAAACCTGGTTTATCTCAGCATTCCTGAATGGTTTCAGTTGAAAGGGATCTTAAATCCCATCCAGTTCCAACCCCCTGCCTTGGGTTACCTTTAACTAGATCAGGATTGCTCCAAGCCCATCCAGACTGGCCTTGGACACTGCCAGGGATCCAGGGGCAGCCACAGCTTCTATGTCACCCTGTGCCAGGGCCTCAGCTCCCTCACAACCAAGAATTTACTCCCAGTATCCTATCTAACCCTGCACTCTGTCTGTTTGAAGCCATTCCCTGTGTCCTGCCCCTCCAGGCCATTTTAAATTGTTTCTCTCCATCTTTATTGTGGGCTCCCTTCAGATACTGGGGTTCAAGCTCTGGGTCTTTGTGCCCACCCCAAATGCTTGAGCTTCCTTCTTAGAGGAGTGTTGGGGTGCTGGGTGGCTGCATCTGAAAGGGCTGGGTGAACACCTCTGCAGGGTCTGGCTGTGAAGCAGAAGTTGATTTTCCTGCTGGTTGGTTGTTGGCCTTGTGGAGATTCCCAGAGGAAGGCAGGGGGTGGAACAGCATCTCCTGACCCCCAGTTTGGAGCTGACTGACAAAGTCCTGCCAGGGACACTCCAGTGCCTCAGATCCTTCCCTGCTCCCAGGCAGCTCTGGCTGTGTGGCTCCTGCAATGAACTCATCACATGAGAAAGCTCTTAGCCAGCTCTGAATATTTTAGCAACAACATACAAATGTTCTGGGTCATTCTTGCTGCACAGCTGCTCATGCATTTAAGGGAACAGGGAAGAACATCACAGCTCTGTATTAAAACTCTTTATTTCTTCCTGTCCTAGGGAACATCTGTCTGCCAGGCTATTCTGGTGGGATCTGTAGTGGCCCTCCTGTATTCCTCAAGGGCTTGCTATAACCTGGTAGCTGTGGCCATATCTCCAGACAGTGTTCCTGGTCCTTTTAACTATGGCTGGGACAACCTTTCAGACAAGGTGAGTGTGTGACCCCCAAATGCAGAGCCAGTGAAGTGAGATGCAGTCACTCCTCATCCTGTGAGGATGAGCAGGGGGCTCTGGGGGTGGGGTCTGAGTAGCTGAACCCCCTCATGAGCTGCCTTTCTGCTCTGCTTGCTCTCTGCACCCAGCAAATCTGAGTCCTCTTCTCCCCAGCCACTTCTTCAGGAAGGATTCCCTGCTCTTCCCTTCCAGCCTGCCAACTCTTCTTGTGAGGGAGAGGAGGGACAGCTCAACTAGAGCAGAACAGCAATGCTTAATCGGGCATGGCTGTGTGTGAGGGGGAGTCACTGGTGTGGGCAGGAGCTCCCATGCCCTGGTGGCACCCTCTGAGCAGAACCAGCTCACCCAAACCAGCAGCAGCACCAGGTGAAGGTCACTGTGCTGCTTTGGGGACTCCTGCCTTTGGAAAGGTTGCTCTGCACTCCCAGTTCCAGCTTCTGGGAGCTCTGTGGGTGGCTGGGATGACACAGACCCCTCTGCCTTGTGCCCACAGGTGCACGTGGAGGTGAGCAGTGAGGAGTATGTGGTGTTTGGAGTGGTCCTGTTCCTCTGGGAGCTGGTGCCAACCACTTTCGTGGTGCTGTTCTTCCGCGCTCAGAGACTGAGCCAGAACCTGGTAGGCCTCAGCAAGTCCCCCTGTGCTGGGAGGAATGCCTGGCATCACTTTTTGGGAATGTTTTGCTTCTGGCCTAACTCCTTTCTCCTTGGCAGACTCCAGCAGGGATGGTCAACAGCCACAGCTACAGCTCCAGGGCCTATTTCTTTGACAATCCCAGGCGCTACGACAGCGACGATGACTTGTCACGGCTCGGGGCCAGGGAAGGAGGGTAAGGAAGGGTTGTGCTGCTGCTCTGCTGCCCTCTGGGGCAGCACCAGAGCTCCTGGCTTCTGCTCCCAGGGAAAACTTTGGTGGAAGAGGCAGCTTGGGTGAAGTAGATGGGGCAGGAAGCGTCTGACAGAGCTTTTGTTCCCTCGTGCAGCTCACAAGGAGCTGTTTTTATTGGGCAGAAGTGACCAGCTCAGAGAGGTGGATGGTGCTCACAGGTGGTGATTGCAGACAGGAGGGCTGGGATCCATTTCAGAGGGCTCTGAAATGATCTCCAGAGGGGTTTCTCCACTGGGGAGTGAGAGCTGGTGAAGTTCTGGAAGGGAGTGGGGACAGGAAGTGCTGGTGTGGAGGACAATGGTCAGGTATCCCCAGCAAAACTCTTACAAGGCATCCTGGCAGCCCTATCACCTGTCTCCATGGAATGGTTAGGGATGGAAGGAACCTTAAAGCCATCTTGTTCCACCCCCTGCCATGGTGGAACATAATGGGCTTTAAGGTCCCTCTTGTTCCACCACCTTCCACTATCCCAGGCTGCTCCAAGCACTGTCCCTCCTGGCCTGGAACACTTTACTTCCTTTTCTCTTTGCTTCCAAGTCCCTCAGTGCTGGAATAAATCAGCTGAAACTCCATTTCCTTCATGCAGAAAGCCAATTCCTTATTCACAAATCTCACATTTATAGGAAATACCAGCATTGTATTAAACCTAATTTGTCAGCAATGCAGTGAAATTCAGTTCACTGGTCAGTAAGGGCTATTGTATATGTCTATCAAATTTTCTCTCTCTACATATGTTTACATTTTTCCTTTGTGGATTCTCATGGGACAAATTTTATTATTTACACAGGTGCATTTGTTTTTCACCCTCAGAATAGATTGTTGTGTTAAAGGAACCTCTGATTCTCAAAATAGCTTCACATGGCAACTTGCAAATTGCTTGTTAGCTGCACTGAGAAGAAATGACAGGCCAGCTTTGGCAATTTGATTTCATAATAATAATTTTTTTAATAATTCTTCTACCTGTCTACAACATCTCACCCATTTCATTAATTTAAAAAAGGCTCTTTTCTGATCCTAAACCAGCTTGCTCTTGGGAGGGTATTATCTCATTAAGGTTATCACTGGTTATCTATTAGATATGAGATGAAAGACTGATTACAATCACAAAGCTTATCAAATTCTATCAAGTCATTGACACAGGATTTCACAGTATGAGGAAACAAAAGAATGATGTCCATTGTCTCTTAGGGATATGGAGATAAATGACCATTGTGTTAAAGTCCAGATAGTTGGGACTCAGGAGAAAGTCCATTAGCTGGAAATGTTGATCTTTGACATCACTGAATGTCCTCATGGGTCAGGGAATAACTGAGGAAGGTTAGTAGGAACACTATACAGTGATGATGACATGGGGCTTTTGTTGGCAAATTGCCCCTGTATTTTGCAGACACAGCTGAGCCTTGGCAGTCCTGCTTCTGTTCCTGTTCTGGCCACGAGGGCTGCAGGGTGATTGGGTTATTTCCCTTTCCACTGGGCCTCGTTTTCCCAGAGGTGATGGGTGGTTGATTGAAGGAACAGGTGACCACTTTGAACCTGCTGCTGCTAAAACACAAGCATGCCCTCTCTTGAAGTCAGTACAGCAATTAGGCTTTGCTAATTGAGGCACACTCAATCGGGATTTAGATTTGATGATCTTTATTCCAAATTTCTAATGCAAATATTGCACTGTTCAAAATTCTTTGTTGTCTAAATTTCTAATGTACATATTACATTATTTGGATGTTCTTAAGGCACTAAATTCTCATTTTTGTTTTTTCAACATGAGATGCATGTATTTGCTTATTAGCTTGAGGAAACATCAAGGCAAAACCATTCATGTAGCGAACAAAAAACTGACAGCAATCAGGAATAAGCCAGGTACAACAATTAAGACTACTTCAGATAATACACATAATTAATAATACATGTGAAATTAGGTAATTAGGAATCTCTGAAACACTGAACCATCATCCCAGAGTCTGTGAACAGCTGACAAACCTCAATTTAGTGAGGGCTCGGATAATTATTTCCAGATAATAATTCCCAAGCTCACTCTAAAGATAGGTTCAGCTGTCATATATAAAGGGTCAAATTGCCAAGTCAAAGTGACCTGAATCCAGTTTTGATGCAGAAAACATTGGGTTTATTGACAGATTCTCCTTCCAGGTAGAGCTAAGGCCTGGCCACAGCCCAGGCTCCATCTGGGAGGGAATTCCCTAAATGCATTTTAAAACAAGGCTCTTAAGAATAGCAGTTATGAGTAAAGGCCTTGGGGTTAAAGACTAATCAAACCATCCAGTAGTTGGATCCCTCCAAAGTTTCCTTCAGGATAGAGATGCTTCAAACACAACAAACTCCTGGAGTGCTTCTGTAATAGGTGGCAAAACCACAAGATCAGCAGTTCAGAGCAGGCTTTCAACAAAGCTCAAGTATCTTTTCTTGGAAGTCTGAAAACCACTTAAAATTATGGGACAGCATTGGGTCAAACCATAGAGCCAGTGCAGGGACTAGCCAGAGAGCTAAGCTGGTTGAAGAGATGCATAAGCAGCTAGAGAACAAAAAAGAAGGATCCTGACACCACATGAGTCTTTTAGATAATTGCACAAAGAGATGTTAAAGCATATAACAAGCTGGCTATAAATACAGTAATAACATCTTATGAATGATGCCTATTATAAAATCATACATTCACATCATGTAATCAATACATCAGTGGTAACCCTCTCAGGGAGATACCACCTTTCTAAACAGTCATGTACCTATGACAGCAAAATGTAACAAAGGAAAGCACTGAAACAGCTTACAATCAACAACAGCCATAATGGAGAATCATCACTGACTCTTCTGTGTTATCTATGGAAGATACAACAGCAGAGATTGTAACGAGCAGCAGAACCTTCACAAAATCCAGGGTGAACACACTGTATCTTCTTTATCCACAAACAGCTGTTTGTCAGTGTTTCATCTCAGCTGTTTTAGTCACAGTCATCTTATCTCTTAAAAAAACAGCTTTATATCTTACAGCATAGAAAGGTAATATTTAACTGTCTTAGATTGCAATGCAAGATGTAACCAGATGTATTCTATCACCAGCTGTTAAAACCAGGTGGGGGACTGTTCTTTATCTCTTCCATGACTCATCCCTCAAAACTCCAGGGGGAGAGCTTCTCTTAATGGGCCAGCTGTTAAAACCAGGTGGGGCAGTTTTCTTTATCTCTTCCACAATGGATCCTCCCTCCAGGAGATATCTTCTCTAAATGGGCCAGTGAGTGTCCCTGCATGGCTGATAAAATTCCATCATCCCATTGGGAGATGCTCTCCCCAGGGGGAGGAGCTAAAGCATTCCTACCTGGATATAATTTGATGCTTGGAACGCCACAGCAGCCTTTTCCACTGGATTCCCAGAGCAAGACTAGACACCATTGGACCTTCAGAGGACAACTACAGCCTTCTACAGGATCATCCCTTCAACAGAGTTTGTCACTCCAGGAGAGCTGCAACCACCATTTATTTGGATGCCTACCAACACCCTGACCCTCAGGGTGTCAGGTTGTATTCTGAGTTCGTCTGCTTCAGCAGTAACATTTTATTTGTGAGCTAATTATTTCTAAACTTTAAGGAACTGCTGCAGATAAAATTCAAGGTTATAGGACTTGGTTAAGAAATTATTTCCTGCCCATAATCTTGGGAGGAGAGGAGAGCTGCAGGCACACAGGGAAGCGGGATGGAGACAATCCTGGAGCAGCAGCAGCTCCACGAGGAGCGGGAGCGGCTCATGGACATGATGGTGAGGGAGATGCTCACCAAGAAGTCCAAGCTCCATGACCAGATCAACTCAGACCACTGCACCTGGGCCATGCAGGACAGGTCCATGGAGGTGAGCAGCAACCTGTGGGAGCTGTGTGATGACGAGGATGGTCTGCGTGAGGAAGAGCTCAGCACCGTTTCCGGGCCAAATCAATTTGTGGAGTTTCACAACAGACTGAAGCAAATTAAGGAATTTCACCAGAAGCACCCACATGAGATCTCTGTTCCTATGTCAGTGGAGTTTGAGGAGCTGCTGAAGGCCAGAGGCAGCCTGAGTGAGGAAGCTCAGGATCTGGTGGAGCTCACAGATGAGGAAGGGTATGGATGATACTTGGATTTGCATGATTGTTACCTCAAGCACATTAACCTGAAATCACCAGAGAAATTGGATTATATCACTTACTTAGCCACATTTGACCAACTCTTCAGTATTCCCAAGGAGATAAAAAATGCTGAATATAAGAGGTATCTTGAGATTCTCCTTGAGTACCTGCAGGGTTACACAGATTGAGTGGAACCATTACTGGACCAGAATGAACTTTCTGAGAAAATTCAGGCAGAGTTTGAGAAGAAGTGGCAGAATGGCACATATCCAAGCTGGCCAAAAGAGACCAGCAGTGCCCTCACCCATGCTGGTGCCCACCTGGACCTCTCAGCCTTCTCCTCCTGGGAGGAACTGGCTTCCCTAGGACTGGACAGGTCAAAATCAGCTTTGCTGGCTTTGGGGCTGAAGTGTGGTGGGACTGTGGAGGAGCGTGCTCAGAGGCTTTTTAGCACTAAAGGCAAATCCCTGGAAGCACTTGATCCTTCCTTGTTTGCTAGGAATCCAAAGACAAAAGGAAGCAAGAGAGGTAGTGAAAGAAATAAAGATCTTGCATTCCTGGAAGCTCAGATTTATGAGTATGTGGAAGTTCTTGGGGAACAAAGACACCTCACCCACGAGAATGTGCAGAGGATTCCAGTGGGAACAGGGTGAACAAAAAGACACAAAGACCTGAAGCACCAAGGGCTGCTTTGGGTGTCCCTAGGTGAAGGATCACAGAGAAAATCTGCAGAGAGAGTGGGTCTGGCAGCAGCTCTGACTTCTTCAGTGTCTGGATTTTGTATGTGCATGAATATAGATTTCAAGAATACTTTATAGAGTCACTTTCTAGTAAGCCCCTTAGACATTGTTTTATATAACAAACCAAAAAAACCAACAAAAAAACAAAAAAAAGGAAAAATGGAACAGAGGTGCAGTGGCCAAGCCATGTATAATAGGTTTCTTAGATGAACATCAATGAAATATAGATTAGCTGATCTCAAGTGATGGCCAGGCACTGCCCCACACAGGGGGAGGAGGGCTGAGCTGCCCCATGCCCCTGCCAGCTAGGGAAGGGAAAACTCCATGGCACCATCCTGTGCCACTGCACCTCTGTTCTCCCCCTAAACACTTGTGGTTGAAAAAGAGGCAGGGAAAAGGCAAGAAAACAAACCCTAAAAACTGCACACATTTTTCTACATTTGTCTTTTGGTAATTTTCCCCTTACCAGGGGACAAATGTAGAAAAATCTGAAAAGGCACCAAGCACCCACAGCTCTCCTCTTCTGTTTTGGAGTCTGTGAGTTCCACAAGGGACTGCCAACCGAGGGGCCCAGCCCAGGTGGAACCACTGGGTCTGGAAAGAAGCTTTGCTGCAAAAATACTGTCTGGTCCTGCTGGTCCTGCAGTTTGAGTTCTGCTGGAGGATGAGACCTGCTCAGATGGCTGCCTGTCTGCACCGTCTGGGGGGTAACTTCATCCTGACCGAGGTCATTTTGCACAAGCACACAACTAAGTTCTGGTTCTGGGCTCCTGGTTCTTCATTGGTTTCTCCACGTGGTTTGGCTCTTGCTGCCCCTACTGCTGTGTCCAGCTCCAGGATAGAAGGGAAATGACTGACACAGGGGCTGCATGCTCCTGAGCATCTGCATGCAGGGACACACACAGGCACTGTCCCAGAGCCAGAGTGTAGGCTCAGAATCCACTAAATGCATTTACCTAATCAGGGACCAGCCCCATGACCACTCAAGACAGTAACAAAGCTATCAGCATATACTTATCTTACTTTCTCTCTCCTTTTCCCAGCATATTTTGCCTCTTCTAACTCACAGTTTGCCTTTCTTTCTGTGATGTTTGCACACGGTCTCCATTCTCACATGTCATTTCTACATCACTTTTCTATTCTGCAACTTGTTTCCCCACCCCTCAGCAGTTGACTGTTCACTCACCATGGTTCTTGAGACTGTTGTCCCCACGATTTGCTGGGCCCTTGTCTCTTTGGCAGCTCTTAGGCTGCCTCACCTTCCAGGACTCTCTTTGGGCCATGTATCTCCGAGGTTTGGAGACCACATTTGTGTTCTGCCACTCGCAGTTTAGTTCTCACCAGGTGCACACTTTCCCCCAGTAGTTGTGTTCATTTCCATGCATTCCACACCCTCTGCAGCCCCTCTGCCTGGGTTCCACTTCACCCCCTGCCTCTTGTCTTTGCTTGTTCTGTGTGTGCTTGAATTTCTCTTTGTGCTGATCCTGCAGCCAGCGGTGCTGCTGGTGGTTGTGTCCATGTGCTGTGTCTCCTCTCACTGCTGTTTGCTCCCACCTCAGCCATACTCATGGCCAGCTCCATCTTCCTTTCATGACTTTGTATGTTCCATCTCTAAATCCTGTCTTGCCACCCAGTCCTGGGGTCAGCTTGGCTCATTTCACCTTTTTTGTGACAAACTGTTCATCTCGCGTTGTTCATGTCTTTGGGGGTCACCATGTGTTGGAATAAATCAGCTGAGACTCCATTTCCTTCATGCAGAAAGCAAATTCTTTATTCACAAAGCTCATGTTTGTAGGAAATATCAGCACTGTGTTAAACCTAATTGGTCAGCAACACAGTAAACTCAGTTCATTGATCAGTAAGGGCTATTGTATATGTCTATCAAATTTTCTCTCTCTACATATGTTTACATTTTTCCTTTGTGGATTCTCATGGGACAAATTTTATTATTTACACAGGTGCATTTGTTTTTCATCCTCAGAATAGATTCGTGTTAAAGGAACCTCTGATTCTCAAAATAGCTTCACATGGCAACTTGCAAATTGCTTGTTAGCTGCACTGAGAAGAAATGACAGGCCAGCTTTGGCAATTTGATTTCATAAGGCCTTTCTTTTATAATTCTTCTACCTACCTGTCTACCACACCTCACTTGCTGCCCAGGGGTGTAGAGAGCAGTTCAGAGCTTCTGGCTCCTCTTGACCAGCAGGGCCTGGTGCTCTTCTCCTTGTAGCTGTCTCATCAAAGCCAAGTTTCTCGGAGATATTGTACCTTCAAACTTCCACCTCCTGACCACTGCTGGGAGCAGAATCTGGAAGAGCCAAATTATTCATCCCTAAAAACTCCATGCCTGTTTTTTTATTTTTTTCTGCCTCTCCTGCAGCTTGGCCACCTCTCAGTCTGTTTTTTCTGTCTCTCCTGCAGCTTGGCCACCCCTCAGTGCTCGGGCTGCTACGGTTCCCTGGCTGGCACCGACGGCGCCGCGGACAGCGCGCCCTTGCTCTGCGCCGCCGGCGGCTCGGAGATCAACCAGCACCAGCACAGCTCCCACCCTGCCCCACACAACTGAGGAGGCTCCCTCTCTCTGTTCCCAGAGTGGCACTCATGTATAGGATTGTAACCTGGTTTTTTTCCTCTTTTCCTCCTCTCCCCCTGAAGCATCTAACTCATGACACAAACATTCCACTACCTGCCGCAGCCGCGCGCGCCGAGCCCAGGGGCTGCAGGCACTTCAGTCAGAGAACTGTGACTTTAAGGTACCATGTAGCAAAGTGAAGCTGAACTTCTCTGGAAGCTTTTTTTTTTTTTTTTTTTTTTCTCTCTCCTTGGTCTGGTCTTCAAGATGTTGGCAGCTAAATGCACCAGAGCTTCCTCACTAGAAAAGAAACATCAAATGCATATTTGCACTTTTATCTGCACACTTGGAAGGAACGAATCTCGCTCGGGCCGTGCTTGGCCTGAGACTGTTCTAGTTACTGTTTTAATTGCACATCCAGAGCTGGGAGAGGCACTGGCTTCTGCAGAGATGTGTTCCCTGAAGGACTCTGCATCCCTGGGAGCGGGGAGCTCTGTCTGGGCAGGGCCCCCGGTGCTGGATGCTGGAGTTTTCTGTGCCATATTCCCACCTGGCAGGGCTGGGTGAGGCCCTGGGGCTCGGGGGGTCTTGCCCTGCCTGCTGGTCCCACCTGGCTGCTGCCCTGTCCTACCTGGGCCTGTGGCTCAGAGCTGAGGGAGGTCACTGTTCCTGCTGGCCTCGTGATGGCCCCGTGGCAGAGGGACAGGGCTGGAGCTGGCTCAGCAGGAGTGTGTGTGCAGGAATGTGTGTGAATCCAGGGCTGCTGCACCCCTGGGTGCTGGGAGCAGCCCTGCTCCCTCTCCTCCTTGCCCACAGTGGGGCTCCCCTCGTCCCCCTCAGTATTAAATTGCATTTAGCAGATAACCAAGAGTTTTAACCTGAAGTGAATGTGAACTGCTGGGTCCCCACCGAGGTGCAGGGGGTGTGTGGCTGCCTGTGGAACGTTGCTGTTGCTGAAGGAAGGGGCAGAAACCACAGGGATCTGATCCTTGGGCTCCTTACTCTGCCCTCCACGTGGGCCTGGGGCCTCCCAGGGTGGGAGTGCTGGGTCAGGTCCCTCTGTCTTTCCTTAACCAAAATAGCCAAGTTTGACCTAGCCTGGGCTCTTTGGAGATGAGGCTTGGTGTTATTCCTGCCTTGTCCCTGAGCTGTGGGGATGAGCAGGGCAGCTTTGGATAAAGGCACTGGTGCAGGGAGGGAGCTGCTCTGACCATGGGGCAAATCCACCCTGGGACTGCTTTTAACCTGCCTCGTGCTGCTCCAGCCCCAGTGTGACACTGGGAGCCAGGGAATGCCGTGCTGGGAGCTGTGAGAGCAGCCCCAGCCTGGGGCATCCTGTCCTCACCAGCCTGTCCCCCTCACCCCTGGGGCTGTGCTGGGCTCGGTGTCACTTGTCTGTCCCACTGCCCTGTCCCTGTGTGTGGCCTGTGCTCTCCCTGCTCGCCTCCTGCTGGCCCAAAAAAGCAGCAAGTCCTGGCTCTTTTTTGGAGAAGGCAAAGATGGGAACTCTGAGCACACCCCTTGCTCCAGTGTCCACCCCAGCTGCTCCCCTGTCTCCTGGCAGGAACAGGTTGCTCCATCTCAATCCCTGCTTGGCTTATGGCAAGGCTGGTGAAGGGCCAGGCACTGTCACCCTTCCCTCTGCTCCCATAAGCCTCCAAAGACAGCAAGTGACACTCGTGGCCCCTGTTCTTGCTTAAATTCCAAAGCACTAGGAGCACTTTAAGTTTTACTTTGGAGGGAAAGGAGTGTAGTGCAAAAAAAAAAAAAAAAAAAAAAAAAAAAGAAAAAAAAAAAGAAAAAGAAAAAAAAAAAAAATAATTAAAAAAAACCTACAAAAACCAAGGGCTACAGGCTCATTGTTCCTCTTGCACTGAAGCACACAGCCACACTATGATCTTCCTGGGTTTTGGGGAGGGCAGGTCAGGGCAGTGAGCCTCGTTGCTGATGGGCCCCTGAGCGAGTGGCCAAGTTTGGGTTTTCTCCTCTGTCTGGACTGACAGCTCCTGCTGGGGCTGGTCCTGTGTTTTACTGAAGTCATTTATAGCTCAGAAGTTACAAGGACTTTTTTAATGCATAGTTGCCTTTCATTAAACTTTCTTTTGGTTTTTTTTTTGGTTTTTTTTTTTTGTGGGGTTGTTTTGTTTCTGGTTTTTGTTTTTGTTTTGTTTTTTTTTTGGTATGGTTTAACAGTGTTCTGGCTTTGCAGGTGGGCAGCAGCTGCTGCCCCAGGAGCTGTGGCCAATGAATGTACCTATTTGTTCTTCACTAAACTGTAACCAAGCACTACTCTGTTGAAATAAATTAAAAAAACAACAACAAAAAAAGGACTTTCTGTGCTGGGATGGCTCCCAGGGTGACCCAGCCAGCTCCAGGTGTGGCCCTGTGATCCCCTGTGCCCTGCCAGCACCTGGCACATCCGATGGCTCTGGGATGGGCTCTGGGGGTGGCACAGGGGGGTTTCTTTTATCCTCTGGTGTTTCTCTGGCTGCAGCCCTGAGGGAACAGCTGGAGCTGTGCCAGGACAGGTTTGGGTGTAAATCAGGGAAAGGTTCTTCCCCCAGAGGTGCTGGCACTGCCCAGGGAATGGGCACAGCCCCAGGGGTGCCCAGGGTCTGGGCAGGGCCAGGAGCTGGGCTGGGCACTCTGTGACCCTCGTGGACCCCTCCCAGCTCAGGGAGGCTCTGCCTGGGCCTGTGTCTCCATCCTGTGAGGTGCAATGTGCTCCAACCACTGTCCCAGGAGACACTTCTGGCCAGGGGCTGTGCTCTGTCCTTTCCAGCACTGCCTCCCCCAAACCCAGCAGCACCTCCAGACCTGGAGCTTCCTTTATTCCTTCCCCAGCTTCTTCCACACCCACACAGCCTTGAGCCACAGAGCAGCAGCTCAGCTGGAGCCCAGGCTGCTTCTGCTGCCCTCCCCACATTTCAGGGTGGAAAGCAGAGGGGTTTGCACACAGATCCAGGCTTGGAAGGGGCTGTTTTCCAACAGCACTGCCCACACCCAAACCTGTCCTTTCTCCCTGTTGGATGCTGCAACCAGGGCTGGAAGGAGCACCAGGAACTGCCTGTTCCTAAAAGAAGAGGAATTCTGAAGAAGAGGACTCCACCTTGGGACAGCAGCAGCTCCTACAATGCCTTGAAGTTGTTTTTTCATGCAGCAGAAGTTGGTGTAGGCACACTGTGAGTGAGGGGCTGCTTGGAATGATGGAGCAGACAAGGAATTTCCCCCAAATTTATTCAATGGCACAGTTCTTGCCCCACCTCCAGCTTCCAAAGGTAAGGCCATGGGTCTGATCCATCTTCAAACAGCACAGCAATATTTCAAAAAGAGTTATTCCAAATGATCTTCCAATATATAAAATAAAATTTACATATAGTCCCCATTTTTATACCAAAAAATAGCTTTTTTTTTTTTCCCTTGTATAAAATATCTCCTCAGCAGGTTACAGACAATCATGGGACAGGAGGCCCAGCAAGTGGTTTCCATGGTTTAAGTCAGAGGGGTGCAATGATGGTGTTTGTCCTCAAATCTCTCTTTCTCCACTGAATTCATCTCATGTTTTGTAAGAGATTCCTAAAGTTTTCCAGTTCTTTCACGCTGGTTGAAACCCTGTGTGCAAGGAAAGCAGAAGGGAAATGTTACAGCAACATTCATGTAGTGAATTATTTAAATTCTGGGAGAAAGGGGCTGCATCCAGCACAGCTTCAAGCAGCTCTTGGGAAGAGAAGATTTGGAATTCCAGCTAAATTAGGTTGAGGTTACAACCAGGCCCTTCACTGCTCCCCTGCCTCTTTTTAAAGCAAACACTGGGAATCACAGGGGAATAGGATGTTAAGGAACTCATCCTTGGAAAATCCTCTTTGCCAGAAACTCTTGGGCTCTCAACATCACAAAGAGCTCATGCATAACCAGAGTGTCCTGAAATCCCCTCCCAAAGGCCTCATTATCCTCCTTTTCTGACCAAAACACCTCATCCAGAGAGGCTGGACTGATGGAGTCCAGTTAAAAATGCCATCATGAACTGGGGGAGAGGCTTAAGGACAGCAGCCCTTGCCTGGGACAATGCTCCAAAAACAGTCACACAGTCCTTTAAAAATGATTACATTCTTTGTATCTTAGCATAAATGCTCCTTTGAATTCCTTACAGAAATGCAGAGTATGAAGAATATTTTAAACCATTCCAACTGTTGTACTCCATACCAACACCTGGTACCACACTATGACCAGAGCAAGAGTCTCCCCCAAAACTACTGGGAACTGCCTGAAATTAGAGCTCAAACTGGATGTACACAGCAGTTCATGCAAAAACAGAGGGGAAAGTCTCAAACTCACCTTCCAAAGGCATTAAATAAGGCCACAATTTCTTGTCTGGTCAGCTGGAACCCATAGGAAGGGCCACTCTCAGGAATCTTCTCGATGAGGTTCTCTGAGAAGAGGATCTTCAGTGCTGTGCCCAAGCCCTGTGTCTGTGCAGGGATCAAAGAGGACCCTTGAACAGAGCATTCCAACCTCCCTGGGCAGCATCCTCTGGACAGGCCAGGAGGATTCCACTGCAGCCAGGCCCTGCAGCCCTCCCCTCTCCTGGCTCACCCCAGCTTCCCAGGCTGAGCAGGCTCCCATCAGCTGCTGCCTGCACAGCTGAGCAATCAGCAGCCCTGAGCCCTATCCAGGACCTGCTTGGGATCCAAGGGCCAATCCCAGCCCCAGAGCTCCCAAATATTGCTGACAAATCTCACCTGCAGCTTCCCCCACAGCCGACACTTGAAGCAGCCAACACAGTCCATGATCTTGGAAATGTTCTTAAAGTGCAGCCTAAATTCCTCCTGGGGGGAAAAGACATTCATGGTTGTGCACTAATTAGGGCTCCTTCCAGGTATTAATCTGAATTAATCCTGGAATTCAGCGGGACTGAGGTAGGAAAAGCCTCCTGCAGTGGGGTCCTTGGCAGGAATTACCTTTAGTTTAGCAGCTTCCTTTTTATTCCCTGCAAAGAAGGAGTTTTCATCGAAATGCAGGGGGAAGGACCTGGAAGGGAATGCTGAGAGTTTGATTTCTGCCCTCCTTGGATGTATGGCTGCAGTCAGGGGTGGGCATAAACACAGGTGGGAGCCACTGGACA